TGGTGTGCTGACAACAACCTGCTCCTCAACACCAGCAAGACGAAGGAGATCATCGTGGACTTCAGGAGAGAAAGAGGAAGCACGCACAACCCCATTCACATCAACGGGATGGCTGTTTGAACGTGTCTCCAGCTTCAAGTTCCTGGGGACCCACATCACAGAGGACCTCTCCTGGTCCACTAACACCTCCAGTCTGGTTAAGAAGGCTCATCAACGCCTCTTTTTCCTGAGGACACTGAAGAGACACCACCTGTCTTCAGCTGTACTGATGAACTTCTACCGCTGTGTGATCGAGAGCATCCTGACCAGCAGTGTCTCAGTCTGGTACGGAAACTGCTCTGTCGCAGACCGTAAGGCGCTACAGCGGTGGTAAAAACCGCCAGCGCATCACAAGGTGTCCACTTCCTGCCATTGAGGATGTCCAAAGAAAACGCTGTCTGCGGCGAGCTCACGGCATCCTTAAAGACTCCTCCCACCCTGCCCACAGACTGTTTACCCTCCTGCCCTCCGGAGGCGCTTCAGAAGCCTCCGGACCAGAACCAGCAGACTGAGGAACAGCTTTTTCCCCAGAGCTGTTTCCTACTGAACTCTACCCCCCGAACTCTGAACTCTGTCTCTCTCTCTCTCTCCCTCTCTCTCTCCCCCCCTGCTGACCCCCCTTTCCCCTGCATATCACCTCACACCCATCATCCCCCCACCACTCCTCCTGGTCACACACACACATCTCTCATCCATCTGTATTATTGTATTATAGTATGTTCATATTATGTCCATATTCTTTATATTATCTGTAAACTAGTATCATGCTCACTGCATCTTAATCTGTATATTATTAGTAAAGCATGCTCACTGCATCTTAATCAGTATATTATTAGTATAGCATGCTCACTGCATCTTAATCAGTATATTATTAGTATAGCATGCTCACTGCATCTTAATCTGTATATTATTAGTATAGCATGCTCACTGCATCTTAATCAGTATATTATTAGTATAGCATGCTCACTGCATCTTAATCTGTATATTATTAGTATAGCATGCTCACTGCATCTAATCTGTATATATTAGTAAACATGCTCACTGCACCTTAATCTGTATATTATTAGTATAGCATGCTCACTGCATCTTAATCTGTATATTAGTATAGCATGCTCACTGCATCTTAATCTGTATATTATTAGTATAGCATGCTCACTGCATCTTAATCTGTATATTATTAGTATAGCATGCTCACTGCACCTTAATCTGTATATTATTAGTATAGCATGCTCACTGCATTTAATCTGTATATATTAGTATAGCATGCTCACTGCATCTTAATCTGTATATTATTAGTATAGCATGCTCACTGCACTTAATCTGTATATTATAATGCCTAAGAACATCACTTATTTTGTATAGCATTACTGTATATTATAGTATTTATTTATATTTATTGCATCCCATTAATCCAGCCATCCAGATATACTTAATAATTCACTTTTTTTGTCTACATCTGTAAATTTTGTAACTACTGTACATAGCACAGACTCTTGCACTTTCTGCTTATTTGCACTTCTGGTGAGATGCCAAACCTCATTTCGTTACTCTATACTTGTATATGTGTAATGACAATAAAGTTGAATCTCATCTCATCATCTCATCTCATTACATACAAACATTGAAAACATAAAAATAGAGCAAAACAGGACAGGAATTAACATCTTCATTCAGAACCAATGAGCCTCAAGCTCAGAGTCAAAGACAGGATGTACTGTGAGACAAATCAAATACACCAGTTTAGCTTTAAAAAAAAAAAAATCTCCAGATTGATACACTGATAAAAGCTCCAGAGCATGTCATTCCCTTTTTGTCCACCAGATGTCCTCAGAGATTTCTGTCCTTTGTCACACACCTCCTCCTTCCTGCTTCTAACTTCTCACCTGTGATAGGCCGATCACTGTGCTGCAGATTGTCAGGGTTAATGGATGCAAATGTCGTCAGCAATCCCTGTCAGTGTCCAGGTGCTGCACCTGTCCCTGTTCTATGTTTCTTCCTGTTCACCTGTTTCCAGTCTGAAACTGAATTCCTTCCATGAGCTTGTTGAGTTTTCTGGTTCCTTTCCTCCGTTTCTTATCCTCGACTAATGACATTTAATGTTTGGATTATTTACATTTTTTTTTATAGAGGGTTCTTCAGGGTGTTCAAGTGGGGGTTCTAGCTATCATTCAGATCAGTGGTTCTCAACTGGGGGGTCGGGACCCAAAAGTGGATCCTGGAGCCTTTTTTTGTGGGTCAAAAATGTTCGACTGGAGGAAAAATGCAGTACAAAAAATGTATAAAGTGCTTTTTCAAAAAGTTTGTTTCCTTCAGTTTATTTGTTCTAACATGCTTTGTACTGTCTGAGCACCATTTTTCTTGAAATAAATATGATTGATTGAAAAATCTAAGAAATTTGGGTGGTGATTTTAGTCCTGAGGCTCGACTAGATGGGAAACACCGATTTAGATGTATCGTCCTTTAGTGAGTTCAGGTTAACATTAAGCAGCTTTGAAAATCCAATATTTGATTCAAGACACTGATTTATTTTTTTCCTTAAAGGCTTTAGATGTGATTTTTTTGATCCAGCAGATGTCGCCCTTGAGCACCAGCATGAAATCAAAACAACTCGCGCTGCATTGTTGTGTTAGCATGCTAATGCTAGTGATCTTTATTCTGCTGGTATCTTCACACTGCATGTAAATTTACCTGAAATGAGCGTGATCTAGAAACACAGTTAAGCAGTGAGTACAGTATGTTATTCTTCTTTTCTCTAGTCCCTCAATTAAACAACTTTTATCCGCAAGGGGAGGAGTCAGCCGGCCGTCCAGGCGATGTAAACAAAGTGAAGATAGGACTCTGAAAACTCTGAAAACATCCCAGACAGTGGGACTCGGGTGTTACACCCATTGTAGACAGTCATGACTCACAGAGTTATTTTCAGAGGATATACTTGATTTATATTTAGTCACATATTAAGCCTTTAAGGGGCTAACAGAACTTCTAGGGGTTCTTTAAAGTCTCAATTGCTCTTTTGAGTGCGTGCCATTCTTGAGGTGATTTGTAAGGGTCCATTTTTACAAGTTTTTTTACAAGATTTCTAATTGTTCTTCTGTAGGTGTCCAGTATGAGGTTCTGGTGGTCACTGGTCCGGTAGTGGTTTTCATGGTCAGTGAAAAGCCTTTTGGTAATCTAGTGGTCCAATCGGTGGTTATTTTAAGTCCATGGGTAAACAGTTCGGCCCTTTACGTTGCTGTATTTTTTCATGATCAGGGAGTTTCTAATTGTAAAGAACTCTTGAACATTTTGGCAAATATAGATTCTTGCAAAGGGTTAACTGAGAAGATGTTTTTTACTGCCAGTAGATTATTGACCTGATATGATTGTGTTTGTGGAAAAGTGTTTCCTGAACATATCGTGAGATTACTACAGTCCTGAATTAAACCATAAACTATTAAGATATTCAGTTTGTATCACAGCCACGGTGTAGTTTGGAGCAGCGCTGTTCTTCCTGTTGTCCTTCCTCTTTTTACTGCGTGTTGGTATTCCCTTTTATTGATCTGTGAGATGCTTGTAAAGGCAACAGCCATGATGGGAATGAGATAATCCTTGAGCTGCACCGACCGAAGATAACATACGCAGCAATAAAATGTAATAGCAGGAAAAACATGATGGGGGCAAAGGGAACTCAGCAGGACTCAATTTGAAACACACTGTTACAGCTGTTATATAAACTGAATATTAAGACCGACAATACTACTTTGTGGGACTCCAGGAGCTGTGATGACAACACTAAAGAAACATAAATAATGTTATGTGCAATATTGCATATTAATGTGGTTTCTGTACACTCTTGGCACTTTTCCATAGTTGTGATAACACTGTGTTGAGACTGTGAGACATATTTGTGTAGTACTTTGTTGCACTATTTTGCTGACAGAATAACTTTGTGTTCCTATGAACAGTTACTTCTGCATTTTCTGCACATGTGTTTTAAAAAGGACAAATGTGTAATGTGATGGCCCAAAAGCTGTGTTGGTGGCCATAAAGTTAATGGTTATTTACATTTATACAATAAAGCGTAAAAAAAACCCCATCAGATTTTGAGTTGTTTTTTTCATATTTTCAGCCAACTTAAAAGTGTAATTTTAGTTATATTAAACAAACTAAACTTTCATTGTAAGGTTCCTACAAAAAGTAGTTTTCATGAAACCATTATATTAGGTTAGAAAGGAGCAGTATTTACTTTTGGGTTATGCAAATTATTGAGTTAGAAAAACTGAAAACTTTAAGTTGGCTTGCTTTAATTTTAAATTGGGTTAATGCAAAACTTTGATTTGAGAACAATTACATTATTAAGTACATTTGACTTAATCAATTGTGTTAATTGAACTTATTAACTTAATTTCAAAGAACTTATTTCATTTAGGTGTTACCAACTGAAACAATTAAATTAAGTTGGTCCAACTATTTTCTTTTTTCAGTGTATTTGAAGACATATGGACTCATGAGGTTGGCTAATGATTATTGTTTTAAGCTTTATGCATTTCATATTTTGAATATACATCACTTTGCAAAAACACAAAAACAAAACAATATTCTCATGGCCATTCTGAAACGGTGTCTCTCTTTTCCTTCTCTTTGCACCCCTCTCCTCCCTCTTTCTCTTTTCCTCTCTCACTTTCCTTCCTTCCTTCCTTCCTTCCTCCCCCTTTGACGTCCCCCCTCCTCTCTGTGCTCTCCGCCCAGACACACACCGCTGGCTGCTGGCATTCAGTCCGGTCTGATCAGTGCAACAGCCGGCAGGACTAACCGGAGCAGCAATCACGGTTGAGCTCTGATTTACCTGCGGATGAATCATTTACAACAAAGTGAACCGGGTGCAAACGAGCATTCACCTGCAGGACTATGGAAGCAAACCAGAAGCTCTACCAAATCATTTAAAAAACGGACTTTAACCTGCAGGATTTAAAAGCCTCATTTAATCTGGATTGGAATGACTGAGCACCTTGGAGAACCGCGGAAGTTAAAATATCCCTAAAGGAGGATGAATGTGATTTTTCTAACAGTTTTAACGCCATTTTTTGCGTTTTTAAACCTATTTTAAAACACCTGAAGGTTGGACAAATGACACTGGCGCTTAGCCTACAGAAAACGTGAGCATGTAACGTTAATGTGAAAGTTTACTACAAGATTTAACGGCGGATTTAAATCCTGAGATTGGCATATTTTTTTTGCCAAACTTTTAAACTTTTATCTTCAGATTTCCATCAGCACCTTCCCTTAAAGACTGCCGTGAAGAAGAGATCTACACAACGACTGAAAAGTATTTTCCCCCTCGATAACACGAGTTTTATGGACATTTTTATTGTTTCCATTGGAGTAAAAAGCGGATTTAATATTTAACGGTTGTTGCCATAGTGACGGGCATGGGTTCGCGTTTAGTTAGTTTACCATCACCAGTCACCACATCTACGTTTAAAACCAATTAAAAAACCTTAAAATCGCCATGAAGAGGAAACAAGACACCCGCTGAGGTAGGCTACAGGAGAAACAATCGATATTATTTCACTTTTAGTGGATTTATTGATCAACATTTGAGAGGATAATCGATGTTTTGTCCGCTGAGGGTCTCAGTCTGTCTGGAGGGAATTGATGCTTTTAACGCATCATAACATAAGTCTTATTGTATGGAGGCTTATTAGTGCTGACAGAAGTGTTGGCTACTGCATGGTTATTTTATGTTAGGAGGGGAAGAGGAAAAGTGATGAGAAATAAACAATAAAATGAGGAAGATTTTTTTTTGTTCATCCTTAAAGTCTTTCTATGTGATTTTTCACACTTAAATATAATATAAATCAAGTATCTCCTCTGAAAATAACTCTGTGAGTCATGACTGTCTACAATGGGTGTAACACCCGAGTCCCACTGTCTGTGATGTTTTCAGAGTTTTCAGAGTCCTATCTTCACTTTGTTTACATCGCCCGGACGGCCGGCTGACTCCTCCCCTCGTGTATAAAAGTTGTTTAATTGAGGGACTAGAGAAAAGAAGAATAACATACTGTACTCACTGCTTAACTGTGTTTCTAGATCACGCTCATTTCAGGTAAATTTACATGCAGTGTGAAGATACCAGCATAATAAAGATCGCTAGCATTAGCATGCTAACACAACAATGCAGCGCCAGTTGTTTTGGTTTCATGCTGGTGCTCAAGGGCGACATCTGCTGGATCAAAAAATCACATATAAAGCCTTTAAGCACTTCAAGTAAAAAGTCGAAATGTCGGGAATAAAGCTCATAGGCTATAGCCACAATTTCAAGAAATAAGTTGAAATACATTTGCGAGAATAAGGTTGAAACATCGAGAATAAAGTTGAAATCTAATTTTGAGAATAAAGTCGATGTGTCGAGAATGACTTTTGTTTTTGACTTTATTCTTAACATTTAAACTTTTTTTCTTGAAGTCAGTTATGAAACAAATCTTCCTCCTCTCATTATTTATTTCTCATGCCTGGCCCATCCTCTTCTGTGTGTGTAGCCATAAAAGGACCTGCATCCAAATATGTTCTTTCACTCAAAAGTACTTAAATAACGACTCAATTTTGGATGTTTTCTTGAGGTCTCAACCTATTTATGTATTTATTTCATAATGCTGATTTCTGTGGATTTTTTTTAGGGTCTTTTTCTTTTTCATGGGAAAACCACTGTTCTACTCCTGAAATAACGAGTCGAGGTCTTGAGAAAACAACCGAAATTGAGTCTTTTTCACAGAGAAATGAATGTCGACACACTTATGTACGGAAGCCCATCTATACACATTTTATTTAACTCTGTTTTCTGTGATAAGGAGTAAATTTCAGTTGTTTTTCTTGAGACTTCGACTTTTTTCAATCCTGGTTTAGTAATACTGATCCATAATTTCTTTCAGCTGTTGTCTCGAGATCTATAGAGACTAAATCTTTATCAATGAAAACCTCAGGACTTCATGTGTGAAAGTGAAAACATTTGAAGAAAACATCGGTGTCATCCCTTTCACTTCAGTGCTTAACAATTCAGATAAATATGAACTCGAGGACCGCTTTGTTTTTAGATTTATTGCAGATGCGTCATGTTTTACTTTGATAGCAGGGGTTAATAGTTACCCTGCAGATCAACACAGTCACTACTGTCACTCATAAATGGCTCGTAAATGCAATGTGTGCCACTCGACTCTACTGTCCTCGAAATACTGCCACGACATTAATTAACTCAAATTGTTGAACAGTCTTTAAAGGAGCAATCTGTAAGAAATGTAATGAATAAAATTATACCATTTTCTAATAAGCTCCACGAGCAGAAACGTGCTCAAACTAGGATCAATATTGGAGATGAGACAGCTCTCTACAAGGTTTTGAATTTAGACTGCAGTACCCATTTTAAACACTAGGGGGTCAGAGTTGCATATTGCTCCTTTAATTTACCACAATAAGTTTTATGGAGTCACCATTTTGCTGATGAGACTCTTATTTGACTCGTTTTTTTTTCATTGAATTCAGTTTGGTAGTCATAACATTTCAGGTCAAGATTATTTTTCGAAGTCATGAAGATAATTTGGTTCTTTTGATGTAATTTGAGCGAGACATATTAAAGGTTATTAAAGTTAAAAATACAGAACTGCATGCACAAAACATTTCTACACCTCTGTGCCAGTGGAAAACAAAGTGAGAGTTAATCAAAGTGACCTTTTGGTTGAACTCAAAATGTATTTTCTCACTGCTAAAATTCCTGCAGCAGACTCTTGTTTGATGCTGGTCTGCTCGTCCACTTGCTGATAACTTGTTTGCCACCTTGAGGTAGATGGTATAGATAACAGACAATACAAAGAAGTTATCAGGCTGTCAACATATCTGGGTTTGACTTAAAAGCGCCTTTAAATCAGTCATTGCTCATTTTTATGACAGGATGACAATGTGCTTCCCCCTGTCTGAGATGTTCCTGAGGTTAGGCTGCTCTTGACAAAACACTTATCACTTCAAAATGCAAACAATGTTCTTTCTGGATAATGTGGGCAGCATTACTGTCCTCTATCATCCAGCTTCGGGGAGTTTTTCTCCCACGCCCCCAAGGCCACTCAGGAATGAAGCAAACTATTATTACAAATTATTACAGTGAATTCAACCGAGACCGTCCAAAGCAGGTCTCGGAGTCTTGACTTTGTTATTGGTTTTTAAGTTGATGGAGGAAGTACGCTTCATTGTTCCTGCTAGATAAAAACAAGACTTCATTTATGCTGCATGTTTTGTTAATGTCTCCCTTGTGTGTATCCGCAGTTAACGGGATAAATAATTCAGCCGCGGTGGAAGTGGATGACCTGCTGCGAGAGGATGGCTTGTTGGAAAGATGGCACCACTCTCCTGCTGCTTCTGCTCCTGCTCGTCCTGCGCCCGGTCAGCGGGCGGTTGCCTCGGCACCGGAGCTTAAGGAAAGCTCGAGGGCATCATGAACACCGGCCGCAACAAAACATCACACTGGCTGTCATCTTACCGCAGAGCAACACAGATTATCCTTGGGCTTGGCCTCGCATCGGCCCCGCCTTGGAGAGGGCCGTCAGGAATGTCAACGCCGACCCCACCCTGCTCCCTGACCATCAACTCGTCTACGCCTTCAAAAACAGCGAGAACAAAAACGGCATCTGCTCCGAGTCCATCGCCCCGCTCATGGCCGTGGACCTGAAATTCGCCTACGACCCCTGGGCGTTCATCGGACCCGGCTGCTCCTACACCGCCTCCCCCGTCGGCCTCTTCACCACCCACTGGGATGTTCCCATGGTGACGGCAGGCGCCCCGGCTGTGGCCTTTTACGGTGGTGTCTACCCGTCCATCACCAACACAGGCCCCACCCACAAGAAGCTTGGGAAGTTCGCCCTGCGGATCTGCGAGCACTTTGGGTGGCGGGAGCACGTGATGCTCATGTTCAACGACAACAAGGAGGATGATCGGCCGTGTTACTTTGCAGTGGAGGGTTTGTTCACGGAGCTGAAGAGCATCAACATTTCCCTCGTCGACAGAGTGTTTGAAGAGAACAAGCCGCCCATCAACTACTCCCAAATCCTCTCCGACGTCCAGAACGACGGCCGAGGTGAGTCTAAAACCACCAGCTACATGTTGGTTCATGTGAAACGTGAATTGTTGATTTGGATTTTTTTCATTGGGGCATAAAAAGATGAGAAAGTAGAGGCTTTCACAGGTCCACTCGGTTGCTTTGTACATGAGACAAGAATCGTGACCAGGCTGATTTTAAGTAGGAAACTTTGTTATTTTCAAACATAAGTCTAATTTGGAAGTAACATTTGGTGTATATTTGATTGTGCTCATTCAAGTGCGTCTGTGAGAACACAGACGTTTTCTGCCCGAGAGTAAACCCCAGGTGGAAACAGGCCGTAATGAAGCCATTTCAAAAGTTTTAGTACCTCTTTGTTTGTTAATTAGACCCCAAAACATAAAGGTAATATGTCCTTGATTTTAAAGGTCACATCTGCAAAATTCACTTCACCATTTTCCTCTAACTCTAACGTGTCTCTAGTCCGAAAAGTCCATCCTCTCCGTCTTCTGCCTGCTCCACTTTTCAGAAAATGTGTGCTCAAACAGGCCGTTTGGAGATTTTCCCTTCATGACATCACAAAGGGCAGTAGCCCCTCCCCCAGGTGGGTGACACTCCCACAGCTAGGTGTTTGTTCTGCCCTCTGAGTCTGCCTTCTCACCGTAAACAATAGGACATGGAGCAAGAAAGACCGAGTACACCCAAGTCCTTCCAGAGAGGGGGCGTGGTCAGACACAGCTCATTTACATATTTAAAGGTACAGACACATAAACAGCCTGTTCTGAGCAAGGCTGAAATAGAGGGGTTTATAGACATGATCAAATACAGGATCAGAGTGGATTTAGAACAAGAAACTTCACACACATGCTTTGAGGAGTTCTGAGACTTATTTATACTGAAGAAGAGGAGGAGGAGGATATGAGACCTTTAAAGTACTAGGGTTTCTGTTTGAGTCTGATCAGGTGTGGCAGGTTTCTGCTGCATCACGGCAGGTGTCATGCTTGTAATTGATAAGATGTCTGACTTGTTATAGGAGGAAAGGCACAGGTTGGAATAATGCAATTAACACTGGCTTGGTTCCATTAGGTTCCAGTAAGCCTTTTTTTATTTAACTAGCCAGCGCTGATCACGAAAGGAAAATATGTTTCTTGGATGCAGACACAGAGAGCTGCAGGAAAAATGCCTTATATAGCTTGTTTTGTATTTTTGCATCGTAAGTCTTGATTGAAGGTGACGTTGATGGGAAACATAGTCCGAGAGAGAGTCAGGCGATATGCACTAAAGACGCTGGGATGTTGTAGTTAATGTAATAGGTGTATGACTTAAATCTGTGATTCCATTCATCCATTATCTATATATATCGCTTTGCCTGTTTCCGGTTGCAGAGGGCTGTCGATTCCAGCTGTTACACCCTGGACTGATCTCCGGCCAATCACAGGGCTGACATATAGAGACAGACAACCAGCCACACTCACATTCACACCTAAAGGGAATTTAGAGTCAACAGTTAACCTAACGAGCATGTCTTTGGACTGTGTGAGGAAGCCGGAGTACCAGGAGAGAACCCACACATGAACGAGGAGAACATGCAAACTCCTCACAGAGAGGCTCTTGTCAGACAGGGATTCAAACCAGAACCTCCTCACTTACTATTGCACCAACATGCAGCCCTGATTTGATTCAGCAGAAAACAAAACCTTATGAGCTCACTTAAATGCACTGTGACAAATTTATACCTGAAACGAAAACACAATTTATTAATTTGTCCAGTTAAATTTATTTATTTTTTCTTCACAAAATAGTTTGCATTAAAGGTGCACTATGTAGATTTTGTAGTGAAATTTGAAAGTTGGAGATGTGAAACAGTGTTCCAGGCACTCTGAGGACAGTTTGTGTGTAGAGTTATTCACATATACGACCGAATCTGTAAATTTCTCCAACTTTCACATTTCTCTTCCAAAACCCTGTAGTGC